CTGAATCAAACAATATCAGGGCATAGATACTGTTCACAAGGAACGATCCTACAACAAACACATAAACATAAGCAGGATAATCAATAAAAATAAAGAGATAATGAGAAGATATATACTCGTCACCACATCAGGTGCTACATAAGACTCCTCGGCTGTCAGCTGAAAATCCATACTCTTCACCACAGACACATCCGCATTGCCCTAGCGGCCATCAGTGATACCACTGGTCTCGCTGCTGCCAAACTTGGAAAATGGGCCTTCTTATGGCCCCTCTTATTGCAATGGAAGCAAATCAGATCGGATACTGGGGTGGTGGTGATAGTAGTAGCAGTGCAAGCCCCTGCTAATATGACATGTCCGACCGCACTTGAAGCAGCTAGATCGGATACTTGGGCCTCTTGCCCGAACCCCCTGAAACCTGAGTTTGATCTGGCTTCCTCTTCCTCACAATCTTTAGATCGATATCCCTCTCTCTGGCTCTCGCAATCATATCCTACAGTGTCTTGCAACTGGATCGGCTCACGAATTGGCGAATATCATTCCTCAACCTCTCATGGTATCTCACCTTCTTCATCTCCTCATCCGCCACATATTGCGTAACCAACAACACCCTCTCGCGGAACATAGCGGTGATCTCAACCACCGTCTCAGTAGTCTGGCGAAGGTCCTGAAACTCCCTCGCCAACTGCTATACCTCGATCACCGGTGAAAACTCAGCTCGAAATCTATTCACAAGGTCATTCCATGTAATCGAATAAACAGCCTCATAAGTCACGGAGCGCCCAAACTCCTCCCCACCAATCCCGAGATCTGTCTTTTAGAAGACAGGAAGCAAGTCTGACCTTTGCCCCAATCAGGACAACTGCTAGTGCGGAAGGCATTAGCAGCATCCTCTAACCATTTCCTGCTCGCGATTGGGTCGTTCTCCTCGAAGTACTCTGGAGCCCCACATGCTTGGAACTCACGGAAGGTCAACGTGCGAGCTCCCATCAATGCCACCATCTTAATCCGAAAAGCGCTCAAACGCTCATCCAAAAGTCTCCAGAATGCCCTCCTTGACCGTACCAAAAATCATAGGAGTCTGCTCAAGTATGCTTCAGGTAATCTCAGACGAAATGAACTCCGACGTCTGATCATCCAACTTCACGGCTCTACAGCCGAAGCCCGAACCCTCACCAGCAACAGAACCAATAAGAGTCACCATATTGAAAATAAACCATACAAACCATCAGAACACACATAAATAATATCGAGGTGTCTCCCACTCTACAAGCTCTCTAGTTTCATTACATCTTTTCTTGGCTCGAGTACGGATCCTCTATTTCTAGTAGTACGGGCCCATACTACCTTCCATATCTATCTGTACTTTCCTCAAAGATCGCCTTGAATCCTTTTAAGTCACTTCTTATTCATTCATACAATCCTCAACAAGACAAGGCTTCCAGCACTAAATCTCCTCCTAGGTTTTCCTAGGGCAACCACCACACTACTCCCCGCCATCGGCTGCAGAAGGAACTCCCTCTAACATCTTCTAACTAGCTCACAAATACAATTACATATCACCGACACCAGATAATTCTTCAAATGAAAGGCCTCACACTACAATGATTGGACTCAAACAAGAGTTGCATAATTGATTTAAAACCTAACCTTCTAAAATTATTTAGTCTCAACAATATGTAACTTAGTATATTCACTTACTAGTTAGCTGCAGTTAATGTGAACTCCTAAAAGCACAAAGCAAGCAACATTCGAGCATTGTGCAATGGGAAAAAGCATAACCTAAATAGCCCATCCTATCACTGACTGATCAGTAATAGGATGCAAGTCTACAAGCTCATAAAGTAGGCATATAAATTCATCTCTCCTAGCATTCTATCATGCAAATCCTTAGCTCTAACTAGCATGCGATTCACAGATTCACAAATCAAAGCATATCATAAAACATGTATGGGTATTTTGGGAAAACTTACTTCAGCTAGGTCGACTGCATGCACCAGACCCTTATTCTTTTATTAGAAAACCCTTTTTATAAAACATTTATTTTTCAAAAATTTTACCAAACCCTCAGTTTAAGTTCAGACACACCCGAGAGTATGTCTGGATCCCTCACACTAAGGTTCTGATACCAACTTGTAACGTCCCAAAAATTTAGACTAAAAATTTCGATTTTTAAATTAATAAAACCATTATCCAAACAACATCATAGAAACCATGGTGAATCAAAGTGTATCAATAACATCCAAGTACATCAGAGTAGTATAAAAATTCGAAATGATGTGGTGTGTGCATTGCAATCATCCCAGGATCTTCCCCTTCGAACCAGAAGTACCTGAAACCATGGTTGCAAAAATCGGTATTAATCGGCGATTAATCGTGGATTAATCGCTTGGCGTTCTCCAACCGTCGAGGATTAGGGTATTACTCGGAAATTTTGGATTAATCGGGTTTGGCGGGATTAATCGGTCTTGGCGGGATTAATCGGTCAACAAAAGTCAAGAAAAGTCAAAATAGTAAAAAAAAAGTAAAAAAAAAAAAAAAATTTAAAAAATTCAAAAAATTAACTTTTTTTTACTCCAAAATTTTCAAGTTTTCAAATTTTCAAATATTATAGCAAAATGTTCATATTTTCGTATTTTCAAATTACAAAATTTCTTATTTTCTTATTTTGAAGTACTTGTTTTTCTTAAGATATATTAATATATAGTTAACATTAATATTTTATTAAAAATCTATGGTCCCCGATTAAAATCCACGATTAATCTCTGCCAAGACTGATTAATCCCTTAACACCAGTCGACCGTCGAGCTACCGTCGAACGATTTTTACAACCTTGCCTGAAACATAAACTGAAAACCGTAAAAACAAAGCTTAGTGAGTTCCCGAAAATACCATATACCACACATATCAAACATATAATAGGCTTCGCCTGTCATCCGGCCCCGCTCGGCATCGAGCCCCACTCAGAACAGATCTGTCAGTCAACACGGGACCTCAATGGAGCTAAGATCTAACAACCATAGCTCCTGGAGTAGATCAAAAGCTCAACTTTAGCTCAAAAGACCCAAAAATGCATAAATAACACCCTAAGTTGGATCTAGCATAAAGAATCATCAAGATGGGAGCTATTTACCTCAAATGTCTTGCTAAGATAAAGATGACCCTGGATCTACAAGCCCAAGCTACTCCCAAGCAACCACCAAGTGTTCTTCTTCTTCTTCACTAGAAACACCACCAAATCTCATTTTCAAGCTTAAAACTCACCAAAAGCACTTAGGGTTGTGTTTTTAGGATAAAGAGTGATGGAGGCTGATCAATAGAATGTCCAAAGGTGGTATAAGTTTCTTAAATAAGGTACAAACCCTAAAAAATAGGGTTTCCCCCTGCACCACGTACTCCACGTACGCACCGCGTACGTGGGTGATTCCCGCGACCAAAAAAGAGTTTCTTGTTGGATTTTGATAAGAAATAAAAGCTTGTTTTTCATAAAAACCGGCAACGGAAGACTTTAAAAGTAACAAGTTTATTTTTAGCTCATAACAAAACCACACCATCATGGATCCATTTATAGAGGTTAGAATGAAATAAAAAAACAACCATATGATGTTTTAGAGATAACCTTTGAAGCCTTTGAACCCACTTGGTTTTTGGGTGTTGATGAAGATAACAAAAAATCAAAGTGTATGATCTTCTCTACAAGTAGCCGCCATCAAGAGTAAGGTACTTGGGATGCTAGTTCCTTCTTGTATTCTTGAGTGTCTTAAGCCTTTAAGTGCTTAACTCAATTAAGCACTAAAGGGAACAACTCAAGAGGTCTTCTAAACCGCCAACCTAACTTCAAAAGAGAGAGAGAGAGAGAGAGAGAGAGAGGGAGAGGAGTAGAAAACCCACAGTTTTAGAGAGAAAGAAAGGAAGAAGACGAGCTTCACTCTTGCAAAAATGCAAGCCTTGTGCATCTCTTATATAGCTCATGAAAAGTAAGGTCTAACCATTAAAATAATCTAAAGAGATTGTAGCCTTTAGAAGCATGGGAGACAAAATGTGGAAAGTTGAAAAGCAACCTCTCACACCATCATTATGCATTTTAAAAAGTAAGATTCTTTATTTTTTATAAACTCCAAGTTTATAAAATATAAACTCTGTCTTTAGGTAAAAGACAAAAGAATCCAACTAATCCAAAATGTTGTGCATGACTTATTAATTCATACCATATGAAATAATAACTAGTAATATTCTCTTATAATTATAATTTTCATAAAACAATAATTATTCCCTAATTAAAATATAAGAATTGATATTATTTATTAATACTCATATTAATAATAAATATACAAAATGTGCCAACTTGATAAAGATGTGACCCTATAGGATCATATATTATTAGCAATATCACTCCATAATGATTCTTGGACGTATAGATCCAACACTGCTACGATAAGCGTACTCATAGAGTATGCCCGACATACTAGCTAGGGACCAAAAAGATTTAAATTTTGCATTAAGGGGCTAAAAGGAAACATACCAAATTACGAATATTACATCTTATGACATAAAAATTGGACCAACATAGGAGGGAATTTGAATTGGAGTTTCATGTAATCATGTTGATAACTTGATGTACTCTCTTTTGATATTGTATGGCTTCTCTCTAGTTTGTACTAAATTGGACCATAAGACGATTGTTTGTAATTATGCACCACATACAATGGACCAAATACAATATAATAATAACGACTTAACAAAAAATGTATTCTCCATGTCCGATCAAAGGGTACGCAATACAATTTCTACATCCAAGGAAAGTGACTTGTATCTCAAATGAAACATTTTCACGATTTAATGTTCCAAAATTGTGGAAACATTTTAGATTAGAAATTTGTAGTCATTATGTTACCCTATATGAGCGTTAAACAATTGTTTTTAATTTAGTTTTTTTCAACAATGCTTGTATTCAAACATTTTCTTTATTCTTTTCTTGGTTTATTTCTTTGTGTATACAGATAAACCTACTCGAAAACAACTTATTTGGAGGAAGCGTTACCACATAATTAAGGGTATTGCACGAGGTTTACTTTATCTTCATCAAGACTCAAGATTGAGAATCATTCATAGAGATCTAAAAACAAGCAACATATTACTGGACAGCGAGTTGAATCCGAAAATATCAGACTTTGGCATTGCTCGTATATTCGGATCAGACCAAAAACAAGACATGACAAAGAGAATAATAGGGACTTAGTAAGTTACCTTACTTCATGAGATCAATCGATATTTTTCTTGCCATTCTTCTCCTTTACAAAAATAACTAATATAACAATATGATTATATTATATGCAACTTTCCCCCTGATATATATATATATATATCTATCTATATATATATATAGATATTATATAGATATTATATTATATATATATATATTATATATATTATATATATTATATCTATATACACACACACACACACGTACATACATACATACATAAATACATATACATACGTATGCACATACAAACATACATGCACACATACATACATACATACATACACACATACATACACATTCTCACTAATTAAATCGTTTATAACGGTACTTTGGATATTTTTTTCTATGATTCTCATTCTGTCAGAATGTGTTCTTTATCACCACAAAATCTAAGAGTAAAAAAGAGTGAACAATGACGTGCGTGAACAGGAATTGATTAGAATTAGTGAGAATGCATGATAATGACAATAATTATGAGAAGTTGTAGGTATTCCTATCTTTTTAGTCATTCCACAGAATAACATTTTATACATACGTTCGCACAACAGATGTCACACACATTTTAACCTAGCAGATATATATATATATATATATATATTATATATATCTATATCTAATATCTATATATATATTTATATATATATATATATATATATAGGTGAGGTTCAATAGAGAACCATAATTAACCAAGGAACCAAAGAACCAATCGTGAGCGTTGAAAATCATAACGATCAACGGCCAAGGAAATAGATGTATACTTTTACATTGGACGCACACACACCGGATTATCCCAAAAAATCCACCCTTTACAAAAAAAACCCACCACTTTTTTCGTTTAAAATTTTTTTTAGGCCATGTTTTTTATCGAAAAAAAACCGAATATCCGTTGTTTCACGATTTTTCGTTCTCTTTCCATAGAGATCCATGATGATATATAAAAAAACGAACTTTTTTTTTTCGAAAAAAACCCACTTCATTTTCTTTGATGAAAAAAAATTTAATGTCTATTTTTTTATAGAAAAAAAATTCATATTTTTTGTACTTTTTAAACATAGATTCATATTCAAGTTAAAAAAAACTTTATTTCAGTTCAGATTCACATTGTGAACTTGTTCAGATTCATATTGTAAACCTATTCAGATTCACATTATGAATCTCCTTCGATTCACAGTGTGCATAATAAGAAGTCAGTGTGAATCTGAACTGATAGGAGTTTTTTCACATTGTGAATGTTAAAATTTGAAATATTTACAGTTTAGATTCACAGTGTGAATCTACACTGATCAAGGTTTTTTTTTTTTTAACCTTCTCAGATTCACAGTGTGTATAATAGTAATTCAGATTCACAATGTAAATTTGAACTGTTCGAGATTTTTCATATTGTGAATGTTAAAAATTGAAATATTTACAGTTTAGATTCACAGTGTGAATCTGTTACTGTTCGAGGTTTTTTTTTTTTTTTTTTTTTTTTTTTTTTTTTTTAGTCGGTGTTGATGTTTATTAATAGAGTACAAAAAATTAATATTTTTGGTATAATTAGTTTTTTTTTTTGATAAAAATAAACTTAAATATTGAAAAAACTAAGAAAATTAAGTGAGTTTTTTTCGAAAAAAAAAAAGTTCGTTTTTATTATATCATCATGGATCTCTATGGAAAGAGGACGAAACATCATGAACAACGGTATATTCGGTTTTTTTTTTCGATAAACAACTTGGCGTAAAAAAAATTTTAAATGAAAAAAAGGAAGTGAGTTTTGTTATAATCCGGTACATGTGCGTCCATTATAAAAATTTACAAGCTCCTTTTGCCGTTGATCGCTTTAAATTCCGACGCTTTGGATTGGTTCCTTGATTAATAATGGTTTTCTATTGAACTTTTCCATTATATATATATATCTATAATATATATAATATTATATATATATTATATATATATATATATATATATATATTTATTATATATATATTAACTTAAAAAACATTATATATTGTCACATCTCTTATTTTAACCACTTAATTTGAATTTGTGCTAAAAACCATCAATGTTTTGTAAAAGTTATATTCTAACTATTATGAATTGCAAATGTCGATCAAAGAAGTAATGCCTCTTTTTTTTTTTCTAAAAAACTCCTATGTTTTCAAAAGAAATTCATCATTACAACATCTGTTTGTTTGTTTTCCATTTTTTTACATATTACTTTTATTTAAAAGATAAATATTTCAAAATTTGTAGTCTTTTGACATCTTTGAACACAAACGTCTATATCAACATATGTTGATTCTATACTGCAAAGTTCAACTTTTGTTTTTTGAAAAACTATTCGGTTATAGGTTTTGTGATTTAGTTTCTATTTTTGGGTTGAAAAATCATTTGATATTACTTTCTATCATTTAGTTTCCGTAAAAGAAATGTTCCATGTGTTGGTATGAAAGTTGTACTCTCATACAAAATTATAAAAACCAAATTTTTCGGGTTGATTTTCAACACAAAACAATCAAAATTGAATCGTTTTTTAACCAAACAAAAATGAAACAAGATTATAGAAAAATATCGAATCAATCTTCTAAAAAAAAAAATTAAAACTAAATCATAGAATCCGAAACCGAATGGTTTTTAAACAAAAAACCCAACTTTGCGGTTTGACACCGACATATATCAATGTAGATGTATGTTTGTAAAACATAAAAGCGGTCAATTTTGTTTTGTTAACTTTCATTTTTTGTATATAAAAACTCATGAAGAGAGGACGTTAATATTAGAAATTTGACTATTGCAAAAAATTCCTTCAGTTATTTGTAGAAAACAAATTGCAGGAACTTTAATGGTTAGTAACTCTTTCTTTTGATGTAGCGGTTATATGTCTCCAGAATATGCAATGAGTGGTCATTATTCAGTGAAATCAGATGTTTACAGCTTTGGTGTTATTGTGTTGGAAATTATAAGCAGCCAGAAGAATTGGTCCTTTGATCATCCTGATCACGATCTTAACCTTTTAGGACATGTAAGTTCTATACACAACTATCCTATTTATATATGATATTCAGACTTTAGTTATTACTGATACATATAACATATGCTTATGTTGTTCAGTGCAACAATTTATGTAACAATAGATGCAAGAACCCAGATTTTTTTAAATTGAAATGATGGAGTACATCTCACCTTAAAGCGTCATCCATGTTATGTTAGCTTTCCGTTATTGTTTATGTTAATTAGTCAGTTAGGCGTATAACTGTAATTTAACATTTAGTTAGAAAGTTGGTTAGCAGGTGTTTGTTAGAGACTTGTATATGTATGTATATGTTAACTCTAACTATCTTAGAGAGAGAAGAAGACATGATTTTCAATTTTCATGTATTGATTAACTTCTGTTACAATGAAGAAAAAGAATATATACATACAGATACAAGTTTCTCTAACGAACACCTGCCAACCAACTTTGTAACTAACAAAATGTTAAATTACAGTTATACCCCTAACTAACTAACTAACGGAAACAATAACGGAAAGCTAACATGTTATTCTCGTAAAATCTAATTTATTCGTTTTATAAATCATATATTTCCCTCATAAGAAGTAGCTCTAAAGGAATCATATAGTAATTTTCTCTATTTACACATCACATGGACTAAAAACCATCACCTTGATGGCTCCCTTAATAAGGCATGGGTAGGAAGTAGGCACTTTGTTCCATGTTGTGTTTTTGTATAATTATTGATCGTTCAAAAAAATATGCTTTCTAGTTTCTAGGAGTACGATATAGACCCGTATATTTAAGCCTTTCTATAATTTATTACTATCTACTTAATTAAGATATATTGTTTTATAAAATCATAAATGTATGTAACTATATAAATTCACAATTCAAGCTATATTATGTTTCAATATATTGGAAAATTATAGAAATATTTTGTGAAGATCACGAAACGTTCCATACATACATAAACAAAGCTATATATAGGCACAAAAGCTCACTCATATATTCACTAGCATATTGATTTTAGTTGTGTTTTCTAAATGTTGCTGGAATGCTTGGCTCAGGCATGGATGCTTTGGAACAAAAGACAACCCTTAGATATACTAGACCCAACTATACAAGATCCATCTTGTGGGGATCAAATTATAAGATGCATCCATGTTGCCCTTTTGTGTGTGCAACAATATCCTGAAGACAGGCCAAAAATGTCCACAGTCTACGCCATGTTGAGTTATGAAGACATAGAGCTACCCGAACCTAAGGAACCCGGGTTTTGCAGGGAGACTTATAAAAAGAAGTGTGATACATCAGTTAGCGATTTAACTTCTGTTAATGAAGTTACTATGACGACATTGGGTGGACGTTAACTCGTTGTGCGTATGCATGCATGTGTATTAATATTAGTGTTTATTTCTAACTTGTACTATAACTTCTAGGTTGGAACTTTGAGATTTCATTCGCTTTTTTTTGTTGGTGATGTCATGTTTAACTAGCCATCAGGTTAACATTGTAGCGAAAAGCATCATAAGCACATAATTTCTAAGTTGGATTGTTACTTTACATCAAAAATCAACAAAGAAAACTATATATCGTTGATAGGCACTCAAATAATATTTGAGATTGTAGCATATTCATTAAACGTTGCAGATGTGGACATAACTCATTTGTTGATTTTTTTTCCTCATGAAAGTCTTTTATTAAACAACTTTCAATGGATTGTTTGAAAATAATATTTTCTCAACATAAAAATCAATCCCAGTTAAACGGCTCAAAAACCCAGATTTCTCAAAACATCTAAACTCAAAATGTTTGTAAAATATTACCAAAGCTAGATATATAGTCAAATATCAATGACCAAACTAAAGCTAGTAATCATGACCTTATTGTTGTGGGATTGGTGGTAGGGAGAGAAAGACTTACCAGAAAAGTCACTTAAAGAAACATATTTTTTTTGGTTTTTAGATGTTTTGATTTGGTTATATAGGATGTAGACTCGAGGGAGTGGCTCGCTAGCCAAGCTCACATCCAGTTCGCTAGCCTCGTCTCCACCACTCCAATTGAAGTCGCTAGGTGCCTCGCTAAAGATTGCTGGCTGGCCGGGCAACGAGAGGAAAGAGAAAGAGAAAGAGGAAAGAAAAGACAATCATTAGCTGGTTGCATTTTCTTGTTTTTTTATATCTTTTTTTTTATCAAAATAAAAATAAATCAATATTGAAATGCAATCACTCCTTACCTAGATGCAACCATTCTATCCATCCTATGTGGCTTCAAAAAACATATCAAAATGCTACCATATTGTCCATCTTATGTGACTTAATAAAATCTTATGTGGCATCAAAAAAACATATGTGACAACATGCTAAGGATGTTATTACTTCTCAGTCTTAGAAAGAAAACTTTGTTGGTATGATGGGTTTTCTATAGAATTGCTATAGGTATGACCAAGGTTCTAAATAACGTAAGGCGTGACTTGGCGGCAATCTCAAGCCTCAAGCTTTTCCGAGCCTTGGCGAGCCACGTCGTTTGTAAGACGTGACTTAAGGCGGCAATTTTGTATATAATTCATATTTTTATATGTATTTTCTACTATTATTCATTTTTATACACATATATGAGTCAAGGCGGCGTTTTGGTAAAGCTTGGCGGCACATACAAGCCTTGGAGCCATGGCGCGCGCCATGGCGAACTTTTTAGAACCTTGGGTATGACATCTCTATAAAAACAAAACTTTGGTTTCTATAGATTATTTACTTTTTATTATAATACTTTCTAGAAAGAACATATTTTTTTTGTTATTTTTTTTTATTATTATTATTGTTTTTAAAGCTCTATAGAAACAATGTAACGCCCTGTTTCAGATCGATTTCATTTTGGGGTGGTGATCAAGGATTGGGTATTAACAGGCCTAGGATCCTTGAAGAATTGAGTTTTAGGCTCATTTGGAGGTGGATGATGTATATTGGATGATCCGAGTATTCGGTTTGTGCTTTAGAGCCAAAGGGTATTTTGGTAATTTGTCAGCTCGGGCTTTTATGGAAATTGAATGATGTTCGGGGAATGGTAAGGCAGCTATGGGTTGATTAAAGTGTAGAGCATCTTGTTACGTTTTCATGGATATAAGGATCGACGAAATCGGGTTTATATCGAAGAAGTTATGGCCTTTGGAGTGATTAAGGGTTTAAGAGGAAACCCTAGTACGCGGGGCGTACCTAGGGAGTACGCGGGGCGTACTGATGCGAAAGGCATTACACTAGGCGTAATGTCGTGTACGCTTAGCGTACTGCGATGGGTTGATCGGGGTTGCGAGACCTAGTACGCTGGGCGTACGAGGGGGTTAAGGAAAAAACCTAATTTTTTATGTATGCCCTATATAAACACATTAAGTCATTTTGGCTGGCCTCTTTACCAGCCTCCAAGTCCTCAAAAACCCTAGAAATCATCTCTAAGCCTCCATGGTTATGATTTTGAGCTCATGGTGTGCATTTTGGTGTTTTTGGGTCATTTCTTAGAATATGGAGCTTGGTGCAAGGTTGTGGATCAAGGAGGAGCTTGTGGATCTGGATTAAGTGCTTTCTAGCTTCGTTGAGGTAAAAAGCTTTGACCTTGTTTATTGTTAGCTTAGATCAATGTTATATGATTTTTTAGTTCATTTTGGCCCCAAGAATGATATCTAGTGGTTTGGTACCACTCCAGGAGCTATGAGTTGCCACTCTTACCGTGGTAAGTTCAGAAGCTGAAGAAGAGATGACCTTAAAAGATTCTATTAGAAGTAGAAAAGCCTTCAACAAGAAAAGGAGACTCAAGCACAGCCAACCTACCTTACTTATCGAGAAAGGGGTATTCTATTAGATTAGTAAAGGAAATCACCATTCTTTGTTATTAGTCATTCGCTCGCTTAAAGAAGACATCCTCCTTAGTTGCCAAAACTGAAAAGAGAAGCAAGCCGAACCACCATAAGCGGATCCTGAGCATGACTCAGTACGTCAACAATCATACAAAAAAAAACTCCATATAACACATTTCCCGATATAAGGATTCTTTGTCAGGTCTTTCCAATGTCGGGGACACAACAACCACCTTTTTTATTCACAAATGATTGTGATTGTAGAGTTGAGGTAACCCTATGGTATGGAGTAAAGGTAAGCGTCTACGTTGTCACACTCCCTTCTTTCCAAAGGTGCCTAGAGGACGGGCCAGACGCAGCAGAGCGACGACCCGGGAGCGGATTCCCCCACCGGGGGGGGGGGGGTGGAGGAGACGGCCATCTCAAGGCACATCACGACCTACATGCAACACCGGCGATACCTGATAGATGCATAAAGTAGCCTCCTTTACTGTTTGGAATCCCCCATGCATGAGTTGGTGTCCATTTGGTGAATGTATAATGCTTTATCTTGAAGTTTGGTTCTTTTGGGGCATGCAAAGTCATCAAGTCAATGACTTTATGGTTCTAGACGTTCTTTAAGAACTAGATCTGTGGTTTGGACTCCTGGTCTTGAGCATTAAGTGCTTAATGGAGTTTTTAGCTTAATGGATGAGTATGTTGGGCGTACAAGTCTGTACGTGCAACGTACAAGCCAAATTGCATGTACGCTTAGCGTACAACCGAGTACTCCCTTTGTACTCAGTCATGAGGGTTTTGGCTTTTGGGCTTCATGGTTGGGCCTCCTTTTTGGGCTTGGTTGTTTGAGTTCTCAATGGGCCAACTAAGTATAAATGTTTTGGACTAGGAAATTGGTTGGTCCTTAGGGTAAGGCCCATATAAGGGGTTTGGGCCCAATTTGGAAAATTAGGCCATAATTGGGCCTTGGTTGGTTATTTGGTTTTTGGGCCTTTCAGGTTGTGAGTTTGATCCTTAGCCTTGGGTATAGTTGCAATGAAATCGAGTTTGAATTACGAGATCAGAGTAAAGTAAGAATGATGAACACGAGATCAAAATAATATCTGTTTGGCTTAATTATGCTTTCAGAGTATAGAGAGTTCTTCTATCTCTAGTATACATCCCTATTTATAGGGAACATGAAAGTAAACAAAAAATACAAGGGACTAGACACAGAAATCTTCGATACATAAAGTGCCCTTGGAATAACATTACAAACTATCGAAACTAACTATGAACTTCGACACCTCACAACTATATTTGACATCTACATTCTCCCCCTTTGTGAGCAGTGAAGAATCAGGTCAACAATATCTTCCCGGCTTGACGGATAACCCTTCAAATCTCAGCATACCAGTTGACAATCTTGCGAATTTCAGCCTTTTCTTTATCATTGTTCTTGGCACAGCGTTCATACGAACCATGTGATTTTTGTAATGAGGCATTGTATTCCTTTCGACATCACACACTTGAAACAGGAATTTTGAATTATTGCCTTTCTTCAAAAACAATTTCTAAAGGTTTCAAGGTAATCTCTCCATCTTCGAAATTTCTCAAACTAGCCTTACTCATAAGCATAGTTTGTGGAACAGTGATCTCTTTATCCAAAAACTTAGCCAACTCGATATCAGTTAAAGCCAAGGCTCCATAGTATCCATCAATAAAAACCTTCAGATGAGCAAAACCATTCAAAAAATCTTCTTTGCTTGTTACTTGCAGTTTCGATACATCAACACTCTTCATGATCGTACCAATAACTAACAAATCATGAAGATTAACTACAGGAAATTCTACAACCGAGAAGTCGAATGCGACGTGGTTTGCTCGGACTGCATGATATCGATAATTCAGTAACATACCTTCGAATAAAACATCTTTGGATATGCCAAGAACCCGAACTATCTTGACTAATGACTGATGGTATTTGAGCATTCTAACACTCCTATGGTGTACATGCAACCCTATAAACCTTGGATCTATGTTTTCTCTATTTTACATGCAAATATTCAATATTCCAAGGTTTCATCCTAACTAGCATAATATGAATCTAGTAGAATGACATACCTTTTGATGGAGCTTGAAGTCTTGAACCTTTAAGAGCTTAGTGCCCCAAGTGTTGCACCTCAAATGGTTCACACAACACCAAAAACCCTTGGAATAACTTGAGAAGAAGAATACTTATGTTCACTCTTATGAAATCGGATTTGCCCTCTTGTGTACTATACACTAGTGCCAATTTCATGAACTGGAGACCTCTTTATATAGTGTGGAGGATTAGGGTTACATTCATGTAAACCATAATACCCATGACCTTTGATTTCCATATGATCCATGGGTTAAAACTCCATGGACTATCCATGAAAGCTTAGCCCAACCTAAATGAACATGGCCCATCCTATATATAAATAAGAGTCCATATTTAATTAGTTCCTTTTGACCACTAAATTAATTCTAAATTAATTCTTGATCAATACTAATTAAATAATA